TTAGTCTTCTTGGTGTAGAGGGTCGGCTCCGACGGAGCCAGTGCACATGTTCCTGTTCTTGAACAGTAGTCGGAGCGGAGGAGCTTGAAGGGGGGGAGATTGAAATCGCCTGCTAGCACCAACGGCAATCGGTGCACCTGCGCCAACTGAGCGACCTGCGCCAGCAGGTCAAGGTTGGTCTCGTTCAGGCCTACCTTGTCTTCTAAATAGATGGAGCATAAAAGAAACTGAGCGTGCCCTGGCACCTCCAGAGCCGCAGCGGCGACTCTCCCGGACGGCGTGTCGGCCTCGAAATTGATCTTGACAATCCCGAGATCTAACCCCCGACGTATTAGGATGGCGGTTCCTTGAATGACTGCCCCACATTCAGAACGGACCCCATCCGAGATTACGGCATGCCAGCCCCGTTTCGCACACCATTGGGCAGTTTCCAGAACTTCGGCCCCTTGCAGCCTGGCTTCCTGGCAACAGACGATCTGGAATTGTCTGGCCTCAGAGTCGGACGTGACAAAAGTCTTGACGCTGCCCCGACAGCTTCCACTGATTGAAACGATTCGAATGTTACCCACCTGACTTGTTGGCCTCACCCTCTGCGCGGGCGGACTGCCCCGCCTTCCCCGCGGGGTGCTCGCTGGCGAAGGCGTCGGGCCCGCGTCGGCGGCCGCTGGCCCCACCGCTCCGTCGGCCGGGAGTTGGGTGGACCGCCTCGAGCGCCTGGGGGGTCCTCTTGGCGCCCGCCGCCAAGCCCAGGGGCTCCTTGGTGTCCATGAGCTCCACGTCGTCGGTGTCGTGCCCCGCGGTCTTGTCGGTGGCCTGCCGCTCGATCTCGGGCTGCGGCGCAGCTGCCTGCGACGTGGCCGCCGCGCTGGCGCCGGAGGCGGCGGTGACTGGCGGAGCGGCGGTCTGGCTCGCCGCGGCTGCTGCGGCCTTGGTGTACTCGCTGTTGATCTCCGCGGCCATGGCGTCGATCTTCGCCTGGAACTCGGCTGAGTAGGCCATGCCTCCGAACTTCTGCTGGACGAAGCCCGCGAGGGTGTCTGCTGCCGCGGGAGTGGCGTGCTTCGCCACTGCCGCCGTTGCCGCCACCTTGAGCTGGGTCTCCAGCTGCTGGATCTCATTCTGGATCTCGCTGCACTCCTTGGAGCTCTCGACGTACTTGGCTGTGAAGGAGTCGACCTTCTCGATGTACCATTCTGCATCTCGCTGCTTTCCCGCGAGACGCTCTCCCTGGGCCGCGAGCTGGGCGTTGAGGCTCTGGGTCTGCTGGTCTGGCGTCTTGGAGGCCAGCGCCGCGGCCTTTGCCGCCTTGAGCTCCTCCTGCGCCTGCTTGTAGTGCGGCCCCCCAACGCCCTCGATGCTCTTCCAGAAGGCGGCCGCTTTGATGCATACGGTGACGGGGTCCAGCTCACTCGCGCCCGTGGCGGGCGCGATCTCGGCTTCCTCCTCGAAGGTGACTGTGCTGCGAGACCATCTGTTGGCTCTGCTCTTCGAGGTGGATCGCGACGGCGTCTGGCTGCTAGGTGCTGCCGAGGGAGCTGCAAAACTGGCACCACACTTCCCACAGTGTCGGTGCTGGAGATCCGTCCACGACCATCCCCCACATAACGGTGTACGGCAGATCTGGTAGTTTCTCGGCGTTCTTGACTGGCTCCTCTGCGTGCGATGATCGCGCCCCTCGCGATCTCCGCGGCGGGCGCCTGCGGCCGGCGCGTCGCGCCCCATGCCGTCAGCGCTGCGAGGAAGCAAGCAGCGAGGAGGCGGCGGCAATGGCTTGGGCCCCTATGGGCCTCTCGGAAACGGGCCGTGGCGCGCGGCTGGTCGAGGCCGCCAGGCCTGGGGAAGGGGCTGCCCTTCCGCCTCGACCTCGGGCCTCGGGAGTCGGGACGGGGAGGAGTTCCCGTCTTGAGCCAAAATGGCTACGGGGGGGGAGGAGGAGGAGGAGGATGAGGAGGAAGAGGAGGAGGAAGAGGAGGAGGAGGAGGAGGAGGAGGAGAGGAGGACGAGGAGGAGGAGGAGGAGGAGGAGGAGGAGGAGACGGGGAGTGGACGATGAGGGCCAGGATGATGATGAGGATGAGAGGCGGATGAGGAGGAGGAGGAGGAGGAGGAGGAGGAGGACGAGAACGACGAGGACGAGGGGTGGATGGGGAAGGACGGGGAGGAGAAGGATGAGGATGAGGAGGAGGAGGAGAGGAGGAGGAGAGGATGAGGAGGAGGAGGAGGAGGAGGAGGAGGATGAGGAGGAGGAGGAGGAGAGGGGGAGGGGGAGGAGAGGAGGAGGAGAAGAAGAAGGAGGAGGAGAGGAGGAGGAAGAAGAAAAAGAAGAAGAGGAGGAGGAGGAGGACGAGGATGGAGGTGCAAGGGAAGGAGGAGGATGGTGAGGAGGAGGAGGGAGGAGGAGGAGGAGGAAGAGAAGGAGGAGGAGGAAGAATAGGAGGAGGAGGAATACGAATGACAAGACACATAAGAGCATTTGTAATAGTACGAAAAATATGTTTGGCTTCCAGGCGAATATTCATATTAATAAGAAGAGAACGCACATTACTATTACGAGTATTTTAATTAATTGTCTCGAAAATTCAATACTGTGCATAAGCATGCGGATGAGAGCAGCACCATACACAATACGAATCATACTAAGAAGGATGTGGCTACTAGTAGTGCGAATACTATTGCTAATGCTATTGGTAATAACGAATCACTCGGATAACACAGTGAATAATGCGCATTATCTCGTAAGAACAGTAATGCTCAGAATGGTAAGAATACTACGAATACTGAAACCATACAATGCGAATAAAAAATAATACGCAGACGCAGTCGGCTACTATTAACAACCCGAAGGCTATACATATAAGTAGTATTATCGACATGCAGTACCAGTACTAAGACTACGAACCACACTAATACTGGAATAATCATTCGCGGACGACGAAGCATACTACGACTGCTAAGAAGGTTATAGAGTGATATTAATGCTAGCAATGGGAAACCGCATAGCCATGATACTACTACTTCTACGACCAATAAAAAGCGAATGCCACGACTAAAACAAACACTACTATGTCGACGGATATAGCGAAGGATAATACTATTGCAGCGACGAGTGATATTAGTAATACGAATAGTAATAATACTGAAGACGAGACGGCTATTACGGATAATAACAATAATGCCACGACCACTATTTATATTACTATAAATAAGAAAGCCATATTCGTAACACCAGAACTAGGACGAATACCACACGTAACCCGAATACTGACGGTACTAAAATTAAGAATAATAACAGTCGGAGGAGTAGGAGAGCCATGAGGAGGTGGAGGAGGAGGAGGAGGACAATGGGGGACGATGACGAGGAGGAGGAGGAGGAGGAAGACGAGGTGGAGGAGGGAGAGGATGGGGCAAAGTAGGAAGACCAGGAGGAGGAGGAGGAGGAGGATTACGACGGCGAGGAGCAGGAGGAGGAAGAGGTGGGGGAGGAGGAAGAAGAGGAAGAAGAGGAGGAGTAGGAGTAGGAGTCAAGCTAGCCAGCTCGAGCGAGTCAAGCATGGCATGCCCAGTCCCACCCGCCCTCCCACAACATAAGAAGCAAAGCTGGCACAACTGGGGGCCGAAGTCACACCGGCCAGCCGGTTTGGTACAGCTGATGCGGCCGCGATGGCGGTTGCCGACGGGAACTGGCGAGCGCGTGTTGAATGCCGCGCACGCATTGCCAGACGAGTCGAGAATGGCCCGGTACACCGCAGGAAGCCAGAGGTGGCCGGAGGAAGCCCGACGGTCTGACAGGACACCCCAAAGCATTTTTGTGAAAAAGCATTGGGTTTTTGATGTTTTTATGTTGAAATGCTTGCAAACACACGGTGTTCGGTAGGATTCTGACATGAACGCGCGAGTGTGCTCTTTGTGGTATTTTTTGCACAGGATTCGCGGCCTGGGTGCATGACAGAGCATCGCGAGTGCACCGCGCGATGACGTGAAATCGCTGGATTTGACCGAATTCTTAAGATTCCTATGGTTTTCCTATGATTTCAGCAAGAGAGCCCGGGCGGGAAAATTGTACAAGTTTTGTGAAAAAACATTGGGTTTTTGATGTTTTTATGTTGAAATGCTTGCAAACACACGGTGTTCGGTAGGATTCTGACATGAACGCGCGCGTGTGCTCTTTGTGGTATTTTTTGCAATGGATTATCGCCGTGGACGACAGGACGTCCATGTCGAGAGGAAAAAATAAGAAAAATGTTGATTTTGTATTGTTTTTTACAGGTTAGGATGGGACCACCCCGGATGCGGCCCCTATCTGCCGGCCTGAGGGGGGAGTAGGAGTATATTCTAATAAGGAATAAGGATAGGAGGAGGAGTAGGAAGTGAGGAGAGGAGGAGTGAGGAGGAGGAGTGAGGAGGAGGAGGGGAGGAGGAGGAGGAGGGAGGAAGAGGAGGGGGGAGGAGGAGGAGGAGGGAGTGGGGAGGAGAGAGGAGGAGGAGTAGGAAGAGAGGAGGAGGGGGGAGGTGAGAGGGGGGAGGAGAGGGGAGGGGGAGGAGGAGGAGGAGGAGGAGGTGGATGAGAAAGGAGGAAGAGGAGGAAAAGGAGGAGGAGAAGGAGGAGGAAAGGTAGGAGGAGGAGGAGGAGGGCAGAAAAGGAGGAGGATGAGCAGGAGGAGCAGGATGAACAGGAACATGAGGAGGGGGAAGAGGAGCAGGAGGAGCAGGAGGAGGAGGAAGAGGTTGAGGAGGAGGAGGAAGAGGTAGAGGTGGAAGAGAGAGGAGGAAGAGGAGGAAAAGGAGGAGGAGGAGAAAGAGGAGGAGGAGGAAAAGGAGGAGGAGGATTAGGAGGAGCAAGAGGATGAGGATGATGATGATGATGAGGAGGAGGAGGAGGAGGAGGAAGAGGAAGAGGAGCAGTGGGAGGAGGGAGGAACGGAGGGAGGAAGCGAGGGGACGGAACGAGAGAGGGGCGGAAGTCAGGAGGGGGAGAGGGAAGAAAGGGCTTAGTTCGAACAGGTGCTTTGGGCTCAAGCGCAGCCTGCTCTTCTCCGAGGGCGACCAGCTCCTTGACGGTCTTGAGGCGTCACCTCCTCCTTTTTTGCCCTCCACCCCCTCCTCCTGCTCCTCCTCCTTCTCCTCCTCCCTCTCTTTCTCCTTCTCTTTCTCTTCTTTTTCCTCCTCCTCTCCTCCTCCCCCTCCTCCTTCTCCTTCTCTTGCTCTTCCCCCTTCTCCTCCTCTTGCTCCTCCTCCTCCTCCTCCACCTCCTCTTCCTTTTGCCTTACCCATCACTCCGCACTCCTTTGTCCTCCCCTCCTCCTCCCGCCCTCCTGCCCCCGTTTCTCAGAATGCTCCTCTCTCTATCCAAGCCGCCGCTCGTCCTTGTCGTCCTGCTGCTGCTGCTGCTGCTCCTCCTCCTCCTCCTCCTCTTCCTCTGGTCCTCCTCGTCGCCCCTCCCTGATCATTTCCCCCCTGCTGTCTTCCTCTGGTTTTCGGGTCAGCGTTCGACGCGGTTCCGACACCCCCGAAACCTTCCCGACGCGGCGCAGCGGCTGGAGAGCGTCCCGAGGCTGGAGAGACCGCCGAGAAGCCAAGACGACGCACGAAAAGCTTGAACGTCGAGCCTCGAACCGTCGACCCTTCCCGAGGCGGACGATCGGACCGTGTTCGCGGTGTCCGACAGCTCCGGCGACAGCACGTTCGCCATGGTGTGCGCCGCGCTGCAGCAGTTCCCCGACAGCGGGGTGCGGGACGTCACCGTCTGCGCAGAGGCCGCTGGGGATGTTGCCGATGATGTTGGTCTGGTGTTTGTGATGATGATGGTGTGGGTGGTGGTGTTGATGGTGGTCATGCCGATGCTGCTGCAGATGATGCTGACCATGCTGATCATGATGCTGATCATGATGCTGATGACGATGCTGATGATGATACTGATGATGATGATGCTGATCAAGACGATGATGACAATGATGAAGATGATGCTGATGATGATGATGATTATGATGATGATGATGATGATGAGGACAATGCTGATGATGCTGATGATGAGGACGCTGATGATGATGCTCATGAGGAGAAGGAGGAGGAGGAGGAGGAGGAGTACGCCGACGATGACGATGCTGAGGACGATGATGATAATGACGAGGCTGACGATGAAGATGATGATGATGATGATGACGACGATGATGCTGATGACGATGATGATGATGATGCTCATAACGATGATGTTGATGATGATGATGATGATGGTGCTGGTGGTGGTGATGATGATGATGACGATGATGATAATGATGACGATGCTGATGATGCTGATGGTGATGATGATCATGACGACAACGACGATGATGATATGGAGGAGGAGTACGTCGACGAGGATGGCGATGGTGATGATGATGCTGATGATGGCGACGACGATGATGATGGTTATGAGGAAGAGGAGGACTAGAAGAAGGAGTACGACGACGTTGGTGGCGGCGTCGACGACGACGCCGACGACGGTGATGATGATAATGATGATGCCGATGATGATGATGCTAATGATACTGATGATGACGACGACGATGCTGATGAGGATGATGATGCTGTCGATAAGAATGATCATGACGACGATGGTGATGAGGAGGAGGGGCGCGACGACTACGACGACGATCATGATGATGATGGTGCTGATGATAATGATGCTTACAATATCGGGGATCATGATGATGCTGTTGAGGACTTCGATGCCGATGATGCTGATGATGATAATGCTGATTATGCTGATGATCATACTGATGCTGATGCTGCTGATTACGATGATGACGACGACGATGATGATGGCGATGACGAGGATGGTGATGATGCTGATGACGATGGCGATGATGATGACGATGACGTTGATGATGATGATGTTGATGCTACAGCTCATGGTAATGGTGATGATGATGCTGATGATGATGATGATGGTTATGAGAATGATGACGCTGATCACGACGACGATGCTGATGATGATGATGATGATGGTAAGGATGAGGAGGAGGAGGAGGAGTACGACGACGATGATGATTATGCTGATGATGATAATGATACTGAGGATTCTGATGATGATGACGATGACGATGATGATGACGATGATGACGAGGATGACGATGATTTCGACAATGACGAGGACGATACTGATGATGATGATGATGCTGATGGTAATGATGATGGTGCGGATGCTGATGATGCTGATGCTGATGATGCTGATGCTGCCGACGATGATGATGATGATGATGACGAGATGGTGATGATGATACAGATGATGATGATGATGATGATGATGATGATGATGATGATGATGATGATGATGATGATGATGATATCGATGATGATGACGGCAATGGCTATGATGGCGATGAGGAGGAGGAGGAAGACATCGGCGACGACGACGACGACGATGATGATGATGATGATGATGATGCTGCGGATGATAATGATGGTTACGATATCGGGGATCATGATGATGCTGATGATGACTTCGATGACGATGATGCTGATGATGATAATGCTGATTATGCTGATGATCATACTGATGCTGATGCTGCTGATTACAATGATGATGACGACGATGATGATGGCGATGACGATGGTGGTGATGGTGCTGATGACGACGGCGATGATGATGACGATGACGTTGTTGATGATGATGATGATGATGATGATGATGATGTTGATGCTACAGCTCATGGTAATGGTGATGATGATGCTGATGATGATACTGATTAAGATAATGATGACGCCGATCACGACGACGATGCTGATGATGATGATGATGGTAAGGCTGAGGAGGAGGAGTACGACGACGATGATGATTATGCTGATGATGATAATGATACTGAGGATTCTGATGATGATGATGACGATCACGATGATGATGACGATGCTGACGAGGATGACGATGCTTTCGACGATGACGAGGACAATACTGATGATGATGATGCTGATGATGATGATGATGATGCTGATGGTAATGATGATGGTGCGGATGCTGATGATGCTGATGATGCCGATGGTGATGATGCTGATGATGATGATGATGCCGATCATGATGATGATGATGATGATGATGATGATGATGATGATGGTGATGCTGATGATGATGCTTCTGATGATGATGCTGCTGATGATAATTTTGATGACGATGATGCTGATGCTGATGAGGAGGGGGAGGAGGAGGGGCAGGAAGAGACTGAGGAGGAGAAGGAGAAGTGCCACGGCGACGCCGTCGCCGCCAACGACGATGATGATTCTGATGATGAGGATGATGAGGATGATGCTGATGCTGATGATGATGATAAAGCTGATGCTGATGCTGATGGTGATGCTGATGCTGATGCTGATGCTGTTGACGACGTCGACGATACTGATGAGTCAGACGAGCACGAAGGAGGAGGAGGAGGCGTAGGACGACGATAACGATGCCGATGCTGATACTGATGATGGTGATGATGGTGATGCTCATTTCGATGATGCTGATGCCGATGATGATGCTGATGATGATGATCACGCTGCTCGTCATCATCATCATGCTTATGGTGACGATGATGTTGCTGATTATGCTGATGCTGATGCTGCTGATGATGATGATGATGTTGATCATGATGATGTTGATCATGATGATGATGTAAGCAGCTGGTGATGATGATGATGCTGATGATGCCGCTTATGATGACGGAGATGATGATGATGATGATGATGATGATGATGATGATGATGATCATGATCATGATCATGATGCTGTTGACGGTGATGATGATGAGGATGACGATGATGGTGACGATGACGATGACGATGGTGCTGATGATGCTGATGATGATGATGCTGATGATGATGGTGATGCTGCTGATGATGATGCTGATGATGATGATGCTGATGCTGATGCTGATGCTGATGATGATGATGATGATTATGATGATGATGATGATTATGATTATGATGATGATGATGATGATGATGATGATGATGATTCTGATGATGATGATGATGATGATGATGATGATGATGATGAATGATGATATGTATGATGATGATGATATGATGATGATGATGATGGTGATGATGATGATGATGATGATGATGATGATGATGATGATGATGATGATGATGATGATGATGATGATGATGATGATGATGATAAGGCTGTTGATGCTGATGCAGATGTAGATGCAGATGCAGAGGCTGATGACGAGGAGGAGGACGACATGCGGGGAGGAGGGGGGGAGGAGTTCCCCAGCAATGGGGTGTGGGATGTCGCGGTCTGCGCAGTTGCCGTCGAGGGAGGAGGAGGAGGAGGAGGAGGAGGAGGAGGAGGAGGAGGAGGGAGGAGGAGAGAGGAGGAGCATACGGAAGAGCTGGAGAGTGTATGAGGCAGGAGGAGGCACAGAGATGAGGAGGGGGAAGGAGGAGGGGGAAGGGAGGAGGAGGAGGAGGAGGCGGAGGAGGAGGAGGAGGAGGAGGAGGAGGAGGGAGGAGGACGACGAACATGATGAGTGGAAGGATGAAGAGGAAGATGAGGCTGCGGAGGTAGCCACGGAGGAGGAGGAAGAGGAGGAGGAGGAGGAGGAGGAGGAGGAGCAGTAGGCATGGAGACGAGGAGGAGGAGGAGGAGGAGGCCTGCGACGTAGAGGTGCTCTCGCTGGAAGAGATCAACCACATAGTGGATGAGGCCGACGCTGTCGACAGCCTGATTATCTTCAGCTTCGCATCGTCGGGCATCGGCCGCTCTGTGCCACTTCCTCCTCTTCCTCCTCCTTCTCCTCCTCCTCCTCCTTCTCCTCCGCCTCCTCATGCCCCCTTCCTCTCTGCATCCCCCTTCTCGCCCTCCTCCTCCCCCTCCTCTGCGGCCAGTGCCGCTCCTTGTCCTCTTCCTCCCGCCGCTGCTGCTGTTCCTCCTCCTCCTCCTCCTCCTCCTCCTCCTCCTCCTCCTCTTCCTCCTCCTCCTCCTCCTCCTCCTCCTCCTCCGCCCCTCCTCTTCCCGCCCTCCTCCGCCCTCCTCTTCCGCCCTCCTCCTCCTCCTCCTCCTCCTCCTCCTCCTCATCTTCCGCCCTCCTCTCCTCCTCCGCCTCCTCCCTCCTCCGCCGCTCCCTCCTCCTCCCTCCTCCTCCTCCTCCTCCGCCGCCTCCCTCCTCTCCTCCTCCTCCTCCTCCTCCTCCTCCTCCTCCTCCTCCTCCTGACCTCGCCCAGCAGACTTCCCGCGGGGCTGGGCCCAGCCGACGCCGCCGGCCCGCGCCGCGCCGCTGCCTGCCGCTGCCGCCGCGGGCCCCGGGCCTTCCTCCGGGGCCTCTGCCGCGGGGGCGCCTCGGCCTCGGGGGCTGGGCGGCCCGCGGCCGGCGGCGTGGCACGGCCTGGTCCATCCTCGGTGGTTCGAGGATGAGGGAGGGGGTCCTCCTCCTCCTCCTCGTCCTCCTCCTCCTCCTCCTCCTCCTCCCACCTTCCTCCTCCTCCTCCTCCTCCTCCTCCTCCTCCTCCTCCTCCTCCCCTCTCCTCCTCCTCCCTCCTCCTCCTACTCCTCCTCCTCCTCCTCCTCCTCCTCCTCCTCCTCCTCCTCCTCCTCCTCCTCCTCCTCCCTCCCCTCCCCTTCCCTCCTCCTCCTTTTCCCTCCTCCCCCTCCTTTTCCTCCTCCTCCCCCTCCTTTTCCTCCTCCTCCTCTTCCTCCTCCTCCTCCTCCTCCTCCTCCTCCTCCTCCGCCTCCTCCTCCTCCTCCTCCTCCTCCTCCTCCGCCTCCTCCTCCTCCTCCTCTTCCGCCCTCCTCCTCCCCCTCCTCCTCCTCCTCCCGGGTCCCAAAGGGCAGGAAGGGATCCAGTCTGGATCCTCCAAGGGCGGCTGCACACTGTCTGAGGGGCACCTCGTCCTCACGACACCACCCCTCCGGGCCCCATCTTGGAGCTACCGGCATCCGGGGGCAGTGGGCTCGTCCCGCGACGGGTGCCAGAGCCTCGGGCAGGGCACCCGCTCCGCAGGTGCTGCCCCGTACGGTCGAGGCTAAACCAGTACACGCCGGTCGTTGAAGGTAGGTCTACCTCAAGCGCCTGAACCCCACCCTCCCCCTCGGAAATCCTGGGGGGTAGGGGTAGGGTTCGCATGAGGCCCCCTATCGGATGGGGTCTCGGGTCCTCTCGCGTGGCCTCCCCAGTCGGCCCCGACTGCAGTCGTGCGTCGCAGCTGTGCGCGCCCGCGCCGTGCCAGCGCGCGGTCTGCGGGCGCCCGCCCCCGCGCGCGTGGCTGCGCGCGCCCCCGCGCGCGCTGGTCTGCACGACGGAGTCTCTCGCGAACGGCAGCAGCGTTAGGTCGGGCCTGTCCCCCTACAGGGGGATTTTCGACGAAAAATGAAAATTATGCTAACGGGGTTCCCCACATAAAGAGATTAACGGTTCCGTGGGACCCATTTTCTTGATGCCCTCCTCGCTTTGGCGGGGCCCCGTTGGAAGGGGGGAGGGCTACGAAACCTGGCGAAGAGTAATGCTTTCCGCGACCCTCCTCGTTCAAGCGCGGCCTCTCTGGAGGAGTGGAGGGGGGACACGAAACCGTGTAAACAGCATGTTTTCCGATACCCTCCAGGAAGAGGAGGTGGAGGAGGAGGAGGAGGAGGAGGAAGAGGATAAGATGGATGATGGCGAAGAGCAGCAGCAGGAACCGCAGCAGGAGCAGCAGCGGGAGGTTGGTTTGAGTGGTCTCATTTTCCTCGTGAGGTCCGATTCGTGAGGTTGGTCTGAGTGGTCTCATTTCCCTCGTCCAGTCGAGGTTATACAAGAGGGTGGGCGACACGAGTTCGCTAGACGAAAGCACTTGCCGAGGTGTCTGGTAACTACAATTCGAACGCAGACACTGATCGGCCAAGAGCGGTTTAAAAGACTGCCAATAATCTCCCAAACAATGTATCGCTGCATTATGGTTTTGTGCACACGGCGTTAATCTACTAGCCTGACTGTACTCGGGCCGACGCGTGGGGGGGCTTCTCTTAAGCCCACGCGGAGTGTTATTTAATCGCAGCCACTGCAGTGAAGACCGATGGTAGTACGATTCCAAGTCACCTCCACCTGCTGCAACGCAAGCGCCGCTACACCAGCAGACCGAAGCAGCGGGGGCGACCAAATGATGGTTTTGTCTCCCTGGAGAGGTGGGATGCCTCCCTGGGAGTGGTGGGATGGGGCACGAAACCATGTAAATAGTATGGTTTTGCCTCCCTGGAGAGGTGGGATGGGGCACGAAACCCTGTAAATAATATGGTTTTCGGATACCCTCCTCGCTCAGGCGGGGCCTCCCTGCAGGGGTGGGAGGGGCACGAAACCATGTAAATAGTATGGTTTTCCTATACCCTCCTCGCTCAGGCGGGGCCTCCCTGGAGGAGTGGGAGGGGCACGAAACCATGTAAATAGTATGGTTTTCGGATACCCTCCTCGCTCAGGCGGGGCCTCCCTGGAGGTGTGGGAGGGGCACGAAACCATGTAAATAGTATGGTTTTCCGATACCCTCCTCGCTCAGGCGGGGCCTCCCTGGAGGGTGGGAGGGGCACGAAACCATGTAAATAGTATGGTTTTCCGATACCCTCCTCGCTCAGGCGGGGCCTCCCTGGAGGGGTGGGAGGGGCACGAAACCATGTAAATAGTATGGTTTTCCGATACCCTCCTCGCTCAGGCGGGGCCTCCCTGGAGGGGTGGGAGGGGCACGAAACCATGTAAATAGTATGGTATTCCGATACCCTCCTCGCTCAGGCGGGGCCTCCCTGGAGGGGTGGGAGGGGCACGAAACCATGTAAATAGTATGGTATTCCGATACCCTCCTCGCTCAGGCGGGGCCTCCCTGGAGGGGTGGGAGGGGCACGAAACCATGTAAATAGTATGGTATTCCGATACCCTCCTCGCTCAGGCGGGGCCTCCCTGGAGGGGTGGGAGGGGCACGAAACCATGTAAATAGTATGGTATTCCGATACCCTCCTCGCTCAGGCGGGGCCTCCCTGGAGGGGTGGGAGGGGCACGAAACCATGTAAATAGTATGGTATTCCGATACCCTCCTCGCTCAGGCGGGGCCTCCCTGGAGGGGTGGGAGGGGCACGAAACCATGTAAATAGTATGGTATTCCGATACCCTCCTCGCTCAGGCGGGGCCTCCCTGGAGGGGTGGGAGGGGCACGAAACCATGTAAGTAGTATGGTTTTCGGTATGGAGTGGTATGGAATGGTATGGTAGGTATGGTATGGTACGGTATGGTATGATATGGTATGGTATGGTACTGGAGGTATGGTATGGTATGGTACGGTGTGGCATTGGTGTGATATGGTATGGTATGCTATGGTACGCCATGGTATGGTATGGTACGGTATGGTACGTATGGTGTGGTATGGTATGGTATGGTATGGTATGGTATGTGTGGTAGGAACTATGGTATGGTATGGTGTGTGTGGTAGGAATAATATTGTGCTGTATGGAAGATGGAGCGGGAGGTGGGTGGGAAGGAGAGGGTGTTCTGGGAAAACAAGAACCCCACTCAGGATGTGGGGAAATACCCCCCAAAAAATACCCCAAGAAGAACACATAGTCCAAAAATAGTCCCCAGACTATTTTTGGACTATTTTTTGATTATTTGTATGGTTTTTCTTATTTTTCGTCGAAAGTCCCCCTGTAGGGGGACAGGCCCGACTTAACAGTTGCGTCTTCGGACCCACCCACCCGTGCCGTCCCGGCCACGGCGTCGGAGTGGCCGGGGAAGGTGTCGGTCTGGCGGGCGGAGGGTGCACGCCGGTGCCCGCCCAAAGTAGGTATTTTTCTGGATCCTCTCGGATCCCAATCTACTTCACTGGGCGCCCCCTGCTCTTCAGGCGTCGGGCGGTCCCTCTCCTCGTCCCTCCTCCGCAGGGGGGTGGGCGGAGGCCCAATCTGGATCCTCGGATCCCAATCTGTAATTCTGGGTGCCCCCTGCTTCACAAGCGTCGAGCGGTCCCTCTCCTCGTCCCTCCTCTGCAGGGGGGTGGGCAGAGGCCCAATCTGGATCCTCAGATCCTCAGATCCCAATCTGGATCCTCAGATCCTCAGGCGTCGAGCGGTCCCTCCTCGTGCAGGGGGGGTGGGGCGCGGAGGCCCGGTCTGCGCTCGGCGCCTGCCTGTTTTGTTCTGCCGCTGCGCACCTGCCTCGTCCGACCGTCGGCCGAGAGGAGCAGAGCTCTGCGGTCCACCTCTCGGCGCTCGGAGTGGCCGGGGAAAAGGTGTCCGTCTGGCGGGCGGAGGGTGCACGTCGGTCGCCGAAAGTAGGTATTTTTCCGGATCCTCAGATGTCCCAATCTGCTTCTGGGCGCCCCCTGTTCTTCAGGCGTCGAGCGGTCTCTCCTCGTCCCCCCTCTGCAGGCGGGGTGGGCGGACTTGCCCTCCCCTCCCCGCGCTCCCGCTCACCAAGGAGGGTGTCGGGGGGGCGGGCGGCGCGGACGGAGACCGGGAGGGGCGGCGGCGGCGGAGCGGATGATGGATGGTGGATGATGGTGATGTCGGTGGTGATGGTGGTGGTGGTGATGATGCAGGTGATGCTGCTGCTGATGATGATGATGATGATGATGATGATGAGGATGAGGATGAGGATGAGGATGAGGATGAGGATGAGGATGGTGAGGATGATGGTGATGTTGTTGGTGATGATGATGACGATGATGCTGATGTTGTTGATGATGACGACGACGATGATGATGATGCTGATGACGACGCCGCCGACGACGACGCCGACGACGATGATGATGAGGACAATGACGACTTCGACGACGACGCTGACGATGATGCTGATGATGCTGATGATGATGGCATCGTGAAGCTGCTGGTGATGATGATCACGATGATGATTATCACGATGATGATGATGCTGCTGATGATGATGATGATGATGATGATGCTGATGATGCTTATGACGATGATAATTCTGATTACCCATCGGTCGTTGAAAGTAGGTATTTTTGGATTCCCAGATTCCAATCCATTTTAAGCGCCTTCCTACCTCAGTGATCGAGTGGCTTCACCTTTTCGGAGGGCGGGCAGAAACCCAATCTACTTCCAACGCCTTCCTACTTCATGGTTCTACCTACTTCTTCCGACCCATGAGTATCATGATGCTGCTGATGATGATGATGATGATGATGATGATGATCATGATGATGGTGACGATGGCGGTGACGATGATGATGACGATGCTGCTGATGCTGCTGATGACGCTGATGTTGTTGGTGATGATCATGATGCTGATGATGCTGATGTTGATGCTGATGCTGCGGATGCTGATGCTGATGATGGTGATGATGATGGGTAATGATGGTGCTGCTGCTGATGATGATGATGATGATGGTGATGCTGGTGGTGATGATGATGATTCTGATGATGACGACGACGACGATGCTGACGACGGCGATGGCGATGACGATGACGATGACGTCGTCGACGATGACGATGACAACGATGATGAGGATGATGACGAGCAGGATGAGGATGACGATGATGATGGTTATGATGATGGTGGTGATGGTGGTGATGATGATGAAGCAGATGAGTGCTGATGCTGACGATGATGAGGTGCTGATGATGATAACGATGATGCTGCTGCTGATGATGATGCTGATGGTTGTGATGGTGATGATGGTGATGATGATGTTGATGAGGATGATACTGGTGGTGGTGATGCTGATGTT